CACGAAGCAAGCAAGTTTCAAGTTTGAAATATTGATAAGTTCCTCAAATCAGAGAAAATAATATTATGACTGAATAATGATGCTTACAATTTTATTTCTTTTTACAGTACAAGGCTCAAGAGCCACTAGTGATAGAGGGTTGCAGAGAATGAGGTAGTATAGGGGGGTATGTAAGGACAATAACGGCTGACGCTTCATTTGAATTTTGGCTTCGAGAAAATGGAGTTATACCTTTGAAAAGTTGGAATATAGACCCTTCACATTGTTATAAGAGACGTTGAATGTCGGGTTTACTTTTGTTTGTGTGGGGTTTGGGTTGATTTCTTGTGTTCAATTTTGTTGTCATGTTTGGCAATCAGTCTGTTCGAGTGGAGACTGGGTAGTGAAGACAGCCACACCCACAGGAAATAAATGCATCAACAACCTGGACTGAATTGTCCAGGGTTACAGCCACAAGGGTAAACTTCGTCATAACACAGAGAAGCCCCACCGGAGGCTACTGCAGAATCCATTCACAAAATGGCAGTAGAAGGAAGAAATGAATAAGCCAAGAATATATTATAGTTATACCCTGAGTGTGTATATGTCTCGTCTATCCAGAAATCAAGGCAACAGAACTTTGAGTGAGAAATATTCTACTGGTCTGGATCAGATACCGGGAGAAGTTCACTCAAATATGAAGAATAAAAAAACCACTGGGAAAAGCTGGGGTAACATAGGTTGCTTAATGTGAACTAAAGTGTTTGTCTCTCAAAATACCGGAATATTTTTCAGTTCTGTCATTGTACTAAGACTGACGATTTCTTTGGCAGAGAGTTCCAAACCCCGCTAGTTGTCTTCAACTGTAGCCTAGTGGCATCTGAAAGTAAGCTAAACCAATGTCTTTCAGAAAAGAGTTGAATCCAAATTTCTACTCTCTTATTAACAAACCGAAAATATGTTACATTAAAAAAAGTAAGTCTAGGATTTAATAACAAACGTAAACGTGTTCCAATATGGCCGATCCGCATTGGTTGACGGTATAGAAGATGTCGTTCCACAAACTAATTCGCAGCTTTATTTCTAATCTCCTACTATAATTGTCTCATATAATCTTAAGTAACCCATAAATGCTACAAGCTTCTGTCGAGCTGATGGAAAGATTTCTGCAATGCGGGCTGGGTGGTTGGGATGGTATATCAGCTAGCGACTGTGTTTTATGTCACTAGCTGTGATGTTTAATACCAATTTCGTCTTATTTACTATTACCATCGTCAATATAGTCCACTTCTTCAGACAACTCATCCTGTAATACGAGCCGTTTGGTTACTTGAATGAAATCGAGATTACTACTAGGAAGTTGTGTCAGATGATGAAACGTCAGGTTTTAAGTGTAAGAGTCTATAATATATCCAACACAAACTATTGGTTAGGAGTGTGCAATGGCTTCCAACATTTTTTTATATTAAAAAAAAAACTCTGTAGTCTTTAGTTAAAACAAAACAAAACAAAACAGATATTTAAAAGCGAGATAGAAATGCATGGAGAAAGTTCTGGTTACATTTGTACAGCATAATAAATTAAAATAAATATTTATTATGATCGTTAAAAAATATGTTTTTCATCTAATTGAGTGAGACGTTTTAGAGCCCAACCAATTTGATGAGTCAGAGATTCTAGGCTAAGGTCCTTCAGCAGAGAGGAAGGGAGATTTCAACGTTTTCTATGCGAAATACGTATATATTCACATTTCTCCCTACATATGTCTTTAATTGGGAAAGAACTATAACAAAGGGGAAAAAGTTTTTTCGTGTGACGCGTTTCGACCTTTAGGACTTCGTCGGACTAAGTTTATGTTTCAATAGTTATTTCCCCATAAACTGTTTTTGATATATAAATACACACACACACACACACACACACACACACACACACACACATATATATATATATATATATATATATATATATATATACATAAAATATATATATATATATATATATATATATATATATATATATATATATATATATATATATGGTGGACTCTCCTGTCGTATTCGACATAACAGAGTCAAACAGCTCAGTTCCTAGGAACCAACAGCTCAGACACCAGCACATATGAATATGATTTGATTATAGTGGTGAGGTTTTGTGCAGAACCAACCAAACTTTATATATATATATATATATATATATATATATATATGAACCGAATAATATTGTGGAAATTTTGCAGCAGAAAATAAAAATTTGTATACGAACACACTCACATATGCATTGTGGAATTCTATTTTGGCTTCTTGTTTACCAGTGAACTTTGATCTTCAAAAATTTAAATGCAATGTCAATCGTTCTCTTCTGTCTTGTGAATTCTTGTTCTTTTATTCTCCTTGGTCCTTAACAGAAGATTTTCTTTTATTTTCTCATACTCGGTAACCCTTTGCATCTTAGTTCCTTTATTACCTTGCTTGGGGTGAAAAGATTAAAAAAACTAAATAGGATTACAGTGCGGCAGATTCTAACAGAAAATTTTGGAATCCGAAAAGATAACATGAAAGAAGGTGCCTTGAATATTAGTACCTTAATTTAAGGAATGAAACTGTGAGAGAGAGGATTACTTACCTGGTCAGTGTTAGCTGCTATCACCTTCAAAATTACTCTCTTTGAGAAGCAAGGGACGATTTTATAATCGCGTTCACCCAAAGTAACGCAAATCGTTACTGGATGTGGAAGTATTAGAAAAAAGAAACCTTACTAAGGAACGTGAGAAGAGTAATCAGGAGGACAATCATGAAATAGCGACTGATTTCGCATTTACATCTTTGAAGATTAAAGTTGATTGGAAAACATGGAGTTGGAAGGGACTTCCACAAGCGAAAAATGCGAAAAAGAAACTGTTAGTCTAGAATTTACGCTTACATCTAATCAACTCAACTGTAAATTGATGAGATCTCGACGCCAGGCTATTACTTTGCTTGTCATGGGTCCTTACCTATAACTACAGAATGAACTTTTCCTAACACTATATATATACTACGCCTCTCAAGAGAGAGGGACGAATCAAGCCGAGCTTCCCGGCTTGATGGTCGAACTCTCTGCCTCTGAGCAGAGAGGAACCCGGACGAGGCTCCGCCGAAGGGCAGAGTCTCGTTCGGGAAGGTTGACCAACACGATCCCGTTTATACGGGTTCTACGGGCATTTTTTTGACCGAGCCTAAGGGCTCGAGAAACCCACATTAAACTCGGCCTTGTACCACATGCAACCCTCGTGGGGGGTGGCTAGATACCGAATCGAGTCGAGCCGATAGTAGTTCACTCCCAACCAGACTGACAGTCATACTAACACCTTCCACATCTTGTATTGTTATTTCGTGTAATACGCCTTCTTTATTTCTACTCTTGTGTTCGTGTTGTTCTTCCTTGGTCCTAACCTGGACCATAACAGTGCTTAAATTTATAAAGTCTACATACCATAGCGATGAGATTATCCGAAAAATTACGATGAAAGTATTTCAGAAATGCACAGGGAGACAACATTATGGCGGTGGAAAAGAGACTGAAGCCGAGCCGCCAGATCAGGACCAATAATATTGCTGATTCTTCTTTGATTTTTATCATGAATCTCTAGTTATACAGCAGGAGAACCAGACCAGATGTGGCAGCAATATTCTTAGCATTATTGATTAGTTAAGCAAACCTTTGCAGGGCCAT